CCATTTTGAATTTAAGCACACAATGTATTACATACAAATCTTTATACAGCGCACGCAGCAAGTTCTTCATATGTGTGCAACATGTGGGTCAGGACTGAAAACAGAAGCCTAAAATAATTTTGTTGGTATTGTACACCACCCTTTTAGATTGTAAGCTCTCACGGGCAGGGCCCTCCTTACCATCTTGTCTTGAATTGTATTGTAATGTCTTCCTTATATTGTAAAGCGCTGCGCAAACTGTTGGCGCTATATAAATCCTGTATAATAATATTAAATAATAATACACCGACATATTAACACTGTATTGTTTCAAGACCTCATATCACTGCCACTGATTACTATTGGTAATCCAGCATGGTAACACACCCCTTTACAGAGATTTGATTTATGTGTGTTTGTTGCTTATGGACAGACCTACACTGGAAATCTGGGTGATCTGCATTTTGGTATGTTTGAGAGCTAATATAATGAGCCATTCTGACAGTTTAAAAAGGTGCTAATTTTTTATATGACATGCCCTTGTCTTTACTTCCTGCCAATGTACCACCTGTCTGTTTTTTTCTGCTTCTCCATATTTAACCTGTCTGGTTCTTCCTTCTTCTCCCTGTGTGACTTGCCTGCTCTTTTCCTCTTTGCCATGCATGACATATCTGATCATTCACTGTTCTTCATGTATGACATCTCTGGTTCTTCCCTCTTCTCTATAGAACCTGTCTGGTTCTTCCCTCTTCTCCATTTTCAGCCTGTAAGGTTCTTCCCTTTTCTCCATGTAAAACCAGTCTGGTTCTTCTCCCTTCTCTATGGACAACATGTATGGTTCTTCCCTCTTCCCTTATACAACCTGTTAGGTTATTCCCTCTTCTCCATATATGTCATGCCTGCTTCTTCCCTCTTCTCCATGTGTGATTTACCTTCTCCTTTTCTCTTCTCCATGTATGACATCTCTGGCCCTTCCCTCTGCTCCATGCACAACCTGTCAGGTTCTTTCCTCCTCTCTATGTACAACATGTCTGATTTTTCCGCTCTACTCCATGTGTGACTTGCTTGGTCACTCACTACTCTCAATGTACAACTTGTCTGGACCTTCCCTCTTCCCATGCCTGACATGTCTGGTTCTTTCCTCTTCTCTGCGTATGACATGTCTGGTCCTTCCCTCTTCTCTATGTACAAAGTTTCCGGTTCTTCGGTCTTCTTCTTGTATGATTTGTCTTGTCCTTCCCTTTTCTCCATGTACCAGTTGTCTGGTCCTTCACTTTTTCACACATACCACTAATCTTGTCCTTCTCTCTTCTCCATCAGGTATATATCATGAGAAACATTGCTGGGTTCTACTGATACAGAAGACATCTACTCTAAATATGGCTAACCTAAGTCCCAGTGTTCTTGAGCATTCAAGGAAAGTGCCATTACATGTAAAGTACATTATTGTGTTACAGATACTGAAACGCTTCAGTGTTGGTCACATAACTGGCTTCTGGAGGAAGCCCCAGTTCCACATTTGTCACAACTTCTGTTACTGTTTATTGTGTAATGGAGCAGCACTATAAAAATACTGTAACTGCCGTATAGTACATACAGCTGAGCTTTCCCATTTACTGTATTTACGTTTTGCAACAGTTGATTTTCATTGTTCAAAGTAAGTAGATACTACTAGAAAACTACAGAGTATAATAATTAGAAAGGGAGAAGGGTGTAGAGAAATAAAATCCAGATTACTCAGCGGTAGAACAAATTTCCGTCCTTGTGAATACGAGGCATAGTAAACAGGTGCTGCACTGCCTGTCTGACAGGTGTAGTCCCTGCTGCAGGGCAGGTATGTGATACGTGTGCCGGCGGTCACACCCTTCACCACCCATCAATCCCTACACCTTCCGCACTTAGCCTCAGAATACAAAGTTTTACTGATAAACTGCTCTCTGCAGGCTATTTGCCTATAACAACACATTCTTTCGTCTAATTATATTGACATCTATTTAATTCTGTGCAAGAGAAGATAAAGCCACTTCACAAAAATGAATACTATTTTTTATTATCATTGATATCACAATAGCAACTGTGCTGTCACTTTCCAGACAAGCATTGTTATACTGTATATAGAATTCCTACAAACAAACTGATTAAGGATATTTTATAGCCACTGTCTCAGGAGACCCATACAACATGCAGCTATAGAATGCAGTGAAGACATTGGTGTCACTTGCCATGACAAATGAATGACATTCTGTGTGCAGACAGTGAAATGTTAGTAACTGTTATCAATTCTATCCAGCCTCCTGGAAAGTTTATTTTGATCAAATGTAAAATTATTTCTAAAAGCAGAGACGACTCATATTGGGAGCAACTCACTCTCTGTGCCAGAGTTCTGCTCTAAACAAATCATATGTGTGGAATTTGAGGAAGATACTAGAATGCAGGGCTGGGACAAGGTGGTGGGTAGAAGGGGCAGCTGCTCTGGGTGCAAGGTTATCATGTGGGGGGCCATGCAGAGTGCAGTTGCCACCCTTTGCTGACGCTGAGTGTTGCAGCACTGTGCACTTTCCCATTATTAGGCATTACGAAGCGGCATTGCTGTTCAATGCCTCTTTGATGCAAATCTGCTGGCACCCACTGGGGAGTAAAGTCCTCTACTTTGCCTATCTGGTCATGTGACCCCACTTCCTCTAACATGACCAGGGAGAGGAAGACGTCTTCCTTCCCAGCTGCACCTGTACTGTTAGCAGGTCTGAAGTAAGTGTGTGTGGAAGATGTGCTGCACTTAAGCTTCGGCTTTCAGCACGGTTCAGCCGAGCCGAGGCATATGCGTTCGGCTCGACTGAGCCGCTCGGATGAAGCCCCCCCCCCAAGAGTACAAAAAATAAATAAAAAATAAATAAAAAATAATAAAAAAATGTAAAAAAATAAAAAATCCTGGAGGCAGAGCGCTGGGTGACGTCACACGCCTGTTGAACAGCCCCCTTCCAAGTCCCCTATAGCTTTCCAGCTCCCCGGCCCCATCCAGGATCTCTATAGCTGTCCAGCTCCCCGGCCCATCCAGATCCCCTATAGGTTTCCAGCCCCCTGGCCCCATCCAGATCCACTATAGTTTTCGAACCCCCCAGCCCCATCCAGATCCCCTACAGTTTTTTAGTCTGCTGGCCCCTTCCAGATCCCCTATAGCTTTCCAGCCCCCTGGCCCCATCCAAAGCTTTCAAGCCACGCGGCCCCATCCAGATCCCATAGCGCACTTCACACCCCCTATATTTTTCCTCTCCCTGACACCAACATCAGGGGCAAGAGGAGCAGCTGGGAGTGAATTCTGTTTTGTCTTAATTAAACCTATTTTACAAATTTCTTGTCTTGAAAACACACTGAGGGGAATTTATCAAAACTGGAGTAGACAGAATCTGGAGCAGTTGTCCATGGCAACCAGTCAGCATCTCTCTAAGGTTAGGTGCACACTTGTGTGATCTGTGACCGCGCGGCAAGAGGGCACAAAACTGCGGGATGGCCGCGCGGTTACAGAAACGCACACCCCCGCTGATTGCGCTGGCGGCGCCGTTATTTTCTAATGGCCCTCCAGTCATGCCAGGCAGATTTGAAGATTCCGCCCATGCAATTGCGCAAAATCACGTATAAAAAAAACCCTGCATGTCGCAAAAATAGGTACATGTACCTTTTGTCAGCAATTGCACCGCGGATGTAACCGCATTGATAATCAATGGGGCCTCCTGGCAAACGCCGTGTGCAACAGCACACAAACGTGCGGTCCTGGGACGCACGCTCAAGTGTGCACCTGGCCTCAAACTAGCAATGCACTTTTTGTGTTCAGTCCCATGGGCTAAATTAGAGAAATCAATCAATTTGCTAAAAGTCTACTCACACCATAGCGCAATGCACTGCGACCTAGGTGTGCTGGTGCGTTGTGTTGCCCTTCATTCCGAATGCCACTCCAATGTACTGGTGGGTGTTTGCTGCGCTAGACCACACATTGCCACAACAGTGTTTGTTGTGTTGCTGAGCGGTGAAAAATTTGCACATCAATGCAAGGCACGCAGAATGAATGGCAACACAATGCACCTAGAGCTAGAAGAGGGACATTTAAGATGCATAAGGGACACACAGAGGGCTTTGGTTCCTAGAGAAGGGCAGTTCCTTTAGGGCTTGTTCACACCAAATGCAGACCAGATCGGCATGAGTTTCTGCATACGCAGTGCAGTGTGTTATACCGCGTTTTGTGCCGCGTTTTTTATGCGTTCCGGACCGTTTTTGGTTAAAAAAAAATGTTTTTGTTGTTGTTTAAAATGGGCTTTCAGTGCGTTTTGATGCGTTTGCATGCATTCCAGAGCAGGTAAAATAGGGCTCGCTGCAGTTTTTTTTACATGCTCTGGAACTGAACGCTGCTGTGTGAACTAGAGCCCAAAATACCATTGGAATACGTTGGATGCAGTTTAGACCCGGTCTGTAACTGCTCTGCTCCTGGAACGCGCTTGGTGTGAACAAGCCCTTAAATGAAGGATAGTTGGGTGTGTGCTGCTCACTCTTCTTGTGTGTCTGTTCTGCACTCTGGAGTCCCCCCTCCCACCCTCCTATGTGATCTGCATTGCAAGCTGCTGCGATCTGTATTGCAAGCTGCTGCTATACAAACATAGTATCTATCATTAATAATGACATACAATCTGACATTACAAAGTACCCAGCATGCCATGGCACAATCAACATCGGAACTATGTTATGGCACAAGAACTTTTATCCAAGTCTAACTAACACCCTCACAAGTGAAAGTCTCCACAGGCTGGCACCCCCTCCACTCCTGTTTCCTGGGACCCTCTGACTAACCCCCTGAGTGCCAGGTTCTCCTGCTGCCCGGGCAGGTGCCCCCTCTAGTGTCGGCGTGCGCTGGCAGGTGGTTGGCCCCGCCCTCCCATGGCACAGTCAGCCACTCAGGTGAGGACAGACTGGTGCCCCGCCCTCTGTCGGGCTGATTACATATAAGGGCAGGGTGTAGAAGTCGCCGCAGTCTGTCCTCTGATCTCCGCTCCAGACTGTACAGTGCGCAACCAGAAGCCACCATGTCCATCAAAATGAGCAAAGTTACCTACCGCACCTCCAGCAGCGCCGTGCCCCGCTCCTCCGGCTTCAGCAGCTTCTCGTACAGCGGGGGGCCAGTAGGGGCCAGAGCCAGCACGGGGTCCTTCAGTCTGGGCTCCAGCTATGGAGGGGGTGCCAGGTTCGGCAGCGGGTACAGGACGGCTTATGGTGGGCAGGGGGCAGGTGCGGGCTCTGCCGGGATCACCCATGTCAGCGTCAACCAGAGCCTGTTGGCACCCCTCAATTTGGAGATCGACCCCAACATCCACATAGTGAGGACCCAGGAGAAGGAGCAGATCATGACCCTCAACAACAAGTTCGCTTCCTTCATTGACAAGGTGGGTAGTTGGCACAGGACCCTTTTACTTATGTTTCTGCACACTTTACTTGGCACAGGACCCTCTCACTTTTAGCTCCCTTTACCTGGCACAAGACCCTCTTACTTTCAGCTTCCTTTACATGGCACAGGACCCTCCCACTTTTAGCTCCCTTTACCTGGCACAAGACCCTCTTACTTTCAGCAACCATTAGCTGGCACAAGACCCCCTTACCTTTTTGCATGCTATATCTGGCACAGGACCGTGTTACTTTTATCTTGTTTAACCTGGCACAAGACCCTCTCACTTTTAGCTCCCTTTACCTGGCACAAGACCCCCTTACTTTCAGCAAGCATTACCTTGCACAGGACCCCCTTACTTTCAGCAACCATAACTGGCACAGGACCCTCTTACTTTTAGCTCCCTTTACCTGGCACAGGACCCTCTTACTTTTAGCTCCCTTTCCCTGGCACAGTACCCTCTTACTTTGAGCTCCCATCACATAGGACAGCACCCTCTTACTTTTAGCTCCCTTTACCTGGCACAGGACCCTCTTACTTTCAGCAACCATTACCTGGCACAATACCCTTTTACCTTTAGCACACTATATCTGGCATCAGACCCTCTTTGAGCAACCATTAATTGGCACAATACCCCCTTACTTTCAGTGCCCATTACCTGATACATTTATTTAACCTTGTCCATAGTTACTAGCATTTAAAATCATTTTTCCAGAACCATTTGCTTGTCTGGTGTATCTAAATGTGTCCTCTACAGTTTTGTTTGAAAAAAGAAATCCCAAATGAATGTGATCCTGTATATGTATGTTTGCATACTGCTTTGCAGATACTGATGAAAAAGTTCTGAGAACATTCTAGTTAGGAATTAAGCTAAGAAAAGAGTAAAACCATGCATGTTGTATGACAGTTTGATCTGAATATTAGCTACAGTCAGATCCTGAAAATGTCAGCTGTCCCTGAAAATGAAGAACGTTATGTTAGCAGAGGATCACTGCCTGTTTCTGATGGCTTTTCAACTGATCCTGAAATGTTACTGAATGTTCCTGTGTGTTACTTGCATAGTAGCCATTTTATTAGTAGGGGTCAATAGTCTGCACAGTATTCAAGAGCCTGCAGATTTTTTATAATCTTTTCTAACATTCATAATGATCCTTTGTAACATATTAGGACTGCCACACCCACAGCTGTGACACGGTGCCAAATTCCAGTCTTCTGGTGCCCATCGACCTCCCCAGTAGATATCATTGACTTCTGCCAGGGAGATCTGTCTGTTCTTTATAACATTTACAGCCTTCCTGGTAGATGAAGTGCTAAAATGTAGAAGTCCCTTTAATTACTATTTATAAATATCGACACATTTGTTCTTCATTGATAATTCTATCTATCTATCTATCTATCTATCTATCTTTCTGTCTATCTTTCTGTCGGTTTTATGGTCACATTCTTTTCCCAATATTGATTCCATTTCACACGCTGGGCAGAAGCAACAGCTGCACAGCCGCCTCAACCTGTTTGAGAGCTGACATTGTACTGTCCAGATGAAGCTTTTTTCTTTTAATAGTTTGTGGTTAAAGTTCGCCTTCTGCCAGAAAATCCAGCAACACCTCATAACGACGTGTCATAAATGACACCAAGAACTGGATTATTATTATTTAATGGCACTGCTAATATAAGCTGCTACTTCGCTTAAAGTGATATTCCTATTCTGAAGAGAAGTGTAAATCTGTATCTGAGTTTGCTGCATTTACCTGAAGCATTTCATATTTTTTAAGCATATGCAGCCACTAGGTGCAAGTATAGAAAAAAACAAGTTAATTTCTTTGTATAAGAGCCTGAGGATAATCAGCAATACCAACGTAGAAACAAGAGAACGGAACACAAACAGTATAAAGTTTGACTTATTCAGAAGTGATAAGTGAAGCAAGCATTCAGATAATTCAACTGTAATAGATCACTATAATATTAAACCCAGCTGTTTCCAGTTGTGGTATTTTGTGTTGATTAGATAGTCTTTAATTCAAAAGACGATAATACAGCAGTTTTACCCATGTTTGGTATATGACTGTTGCACATTTAACTGTTAAAAGATATCCAGTACACAGACAGGCCAGAGAGCCAGAAATGCTCTGTAAGGCCCCTTTCGCATGGGTGGTGGCTGACCCAATCAGCAGGAAATCTGTGAATGGATCCCCTGCTGAATCAAAGCAGAACGGCACAGATATCACTTTTGTTACATCTCTGTCTGTTCAGTTTTTTTTCACCATCCTGCAAACTGAGCTTTACAAACACGTTGGGTCTGTGGACAGGCAGATGTAAATGGATGTGTGTCCATTTGCATGCTTTTGCCTCCAATCCATCGTGTTTAGGTCTGATGGACTCAGAGGTCATCGGATGTAAAAGGACACCTGCCTACAGACTAACATTGAGCTTTCGATCAGATCCGAAATACCTGACAGGTGGATATGATCAGAACAGCATGGTGAAAGGGACCTAAATCAGGGGTGGACAAACCAATATGGCATTCCGGAGCCAGTCTGTCCAATCCAGGAACCAGCAAGATTTATTTAAAACAAGCTCTGTTGATAACTAGAGAAACCCTCATACTGTAAGTTAGACGTCAGCTGTAATTTTGAAGGAGCATTGGCTACCTGGTTCCTGGGATTTGTCCTGGTCTTAATTATGTAATATAAATTGTATAAAAATAGTATACTGTATATAAGCAATAATCCATCAACTTCAATTTTATACAACATAAAGGATGCCTTACTAGTAAAATGGGATCTGCTTTTGCCAGGCTGTGTTTGAAGGTGTATACTCTGGGCTATCATCCTGATCCAGGTTTATTTCGCTTGTGTATTCTGAGCTAGTAAAATAGTACTCAAGATGAAAGCTGTGAAGAGTTTAGAAGCAAGTCGGTCTTGGCAGAGCAGAGGTCTAATAAAGAAGCATATACTAACTAGATGGCCATTGGCTGTCTTCATGGATCTGGGAATAAAATGTTGCAGTAGCTGTCTAGGTCAGGGAAAAAAAAGGATTTGCAAGTAAAGAACCTAGTTCATGTCTACCGCGTGGAACCAAAAACCATGTGTGGGAGCTATAGATAGTAACTGTAGGAACGCCATATTCTACAGCAGTTTTTCCAAACATACCCTCAGGTTCTACCAACAGTGTGTGCTTGCAATATCCACAGCAAAATGGCATTGCTAAGACACGAGTTACTCCACCTGTTCATATAAAACATGCGTGAGTTTAGGAGGCAATGTCCTACAGTACATAGTCATAGCAGATGAAAAGTCAATATAACACTATGGATAATATTCTACGTTTTCTCAATGAAGCTTTTTGCCTTAGTGCATTGTACTTTATAACAATGTTACAACTTTTCAGCAGAACCTTTCTGTGTCGAAGAAGTATATTGTTACTCCTGGAACATGTGATTATATAATAACATCCAATACTTATTGTCCTTGTAGGTGCGCTTCTTAGAACAACAGAACAAGATGCTAGAGACCAAGTGGGGTCTCCTCCAGAACCAGAAAATCACCCGCAGTAACATTGACGGCATGTTTGAGGCTTACATCAACAACCTACGCCGCCAGCTCGACTCTTTGGGTCAGGAGAAGCAGCGTCTGGAATCTGAGCTTGGAAACATGCAGGGTCTGGTAGAGGACTTCAAGAACAAGTAAGTTCAAGCTTCCTTTCTAAACGAATCAAATACATGTGAGACGGTCACCCTTTTGTTCATTAAAACCACAGGCCTGACTGAGGAACGGTAATAATAGACTTCTGGTAAAATGCCAGGCTGACTTGACTTAAAGAAAACCAATTGTGTCTAAGTCTGTTTAAAGATTATTCACACCCCTCTGTTAGTAACACATTCTAAAGCTAACAGACAGAGTATGGGGTCAGGCAGTAGGGCAGTAGAATTCGGGTGATCTTTCACCCCAACTCCAGATCTAGAGTCAAACCCAGTACCTAAGGCTGAATAAAAAGGAGGCAAATACAAAGATTATTTTCTTACCATATTTCAGAACTTCCTGAATAGCAAATACCTTACCTGTACTTAAAAAAAACCCCACAATAATCTATATTACCGTTTTCTAATTTTCTTTCTCAGGGACTGTTAAAGTGTATCTAAACCCAAAAATAAAAATATAATATATTGCAGCTCATCAGTCCTTAGATGTGGTGACCGCATTAGTTTTCTTTTTTATTTAGTCTTATTTACACCTGGTGATCCTACCAATAACACACTTTCTGTACTGAGCTGATTTGGCTAACTCTCTGTACTGTATGTAGTGGTGACTGCATTTGTTTTCAGGCTATGAACATTTTTAGCAAGTATAGAAAATACCTGTTGGATCTTGCCAGAAATAGTGTGTCCTTGTCACTTTTTGTGGGCTGAAAGGAAAGCACAAAGAATCTTGTACTTCTTGTCTAAACTACTGGTCTTATTAATCCACTATGTAATGGAGATGAGCAAAGGCAACATGTTTTAAGTCCAGCCTGTATGACAATCATGGCTTCCTCTATAAGTTATTTATATAGCACCAACAATTTGAACAGCCAGTTACACACTGTGCATATGTCCGTGCCTGCTTTCATGGAGTTTGCAATCTAAGGTCCCTATCTCATATTTACACATACTAAGGCCAAATTAGACAGAAGCCAACAAGCCTACCAGCATGTCTTTGGAGTGTGGTAAGAAATGGGACTAACTGGAGGAAAGCCACCCAAACACAGGGAGAACAGGCAGACTTCATGTAGATATGTCCTGGCTGAACCTGAATTGGCACCAGTGACCTCAGTGCTGCAAGGCAGTAGTGGTAACCACTGAACCACTGTGCTGCCCCAACAGTGAAGTAAGTGTAGACCCAAAAGGACAGGAAGCGTTATTTGTGGGATCACTAAATAAAAACTAAATCGGCTCTGCTCTACTGTAGTTTAAAATCAGCATTGTTCTATTTGTAGGCTGAAAACTAGGGGACAGTACAACCTGTCTATTTAAGGACACATTTCTCTATTACAAATAAGTTACAACCTCATTCTCTATCCCCTCTTATGGAGAATTCAATGTAATCTATTTTAATATGACCCAACTGTCTTCCTGTCTGCATTTGAGAAAATATTGTGCTTGGATCTAATTTCTAAATAAGAGGGATGGAGCTCCATGAGAAGGGTTGACGAAATTGAGAAGTTTTATAACCATAAATGGGAACTGGGAAGCTGGTGCAGAGAATAGCATGTCTGGAGCGTTCATATTCAAGAATTTCTGCCAACTTCTGTGCAATGGAACATTTTCATCTTAAAGTGACATTACCCCTTCCTCATTAGTTCTTTATTAACCCAATTTAACCCTATGAATTCAAACCTATTTGTATAACGCTTTTCTACAGATATGAAGACGAAATCAACAAGCGTACTGAAATGGAGAACGATTTTGTCCTGCTGAAGAAGGTGAGCCAGTGATTACATTCTTTCATTTGTTTTTTAAATTTTTATGCATACCATATGATCAGTAACCCATGACACTTTGTCTGTAGGATGTGGATGAGGCGTACATGAACAAAGTGCAATTGGAAGCAAGACTGGAAAGTCTGACAGATGAAATTAACTTCCTGCGTCATCTTTATGAGGAGGTAAGACCTGGCCTTTTAAGTGTTTTGTGTTAACAAGATGCAATTACATTTTCCAGATTTAATTGGAAAACTTGCATATATTTCCTATTGGCTGTGAAGGATTTATTTGCAAATGTTCGTGTAGTTTTATTGGTAGTGCGGTTCAAATCTTGAAGGGTGCTGTGTTTCTCTTTCTCCTTTTTTTTTTTTTTTACCTTTTAAAAACCTTTTAGTATGTAAATTGGTTGATCATATTAGCTGACTACACAACAAATTTGTTGCCTATGTACTTCTGCCTTCAAGATCAGCAGTCATGCGTAGGTGTGCTTTGTCAGTGCCCATCCACAGCATTGACAGCTGTGTCATGCTGAGAATAAGCCTTTTTACTTTTTTGAAATATATATGTGGGTTATGACAGAGGGGGTCCCAAATGCATGAAATGTGGCTGAGAGAAGTTACATTTCCATCACGTTTTTTGAAGCATTGGGCTTATGGATTTGTGTAAATCAAGCTGCAACATTAGATTCACTGTCCTGTTTAAATCTTCACTGATTTTTATTTTCCTCTCTGTGCAGGAGCTCCGCGAGCTGCAGTCCCAGATTTCTGATACTCAGGTTGTCCTGTCTATGGATAACAACCGAAACTTGGACCTGGACAGCATCATTGCAGAAGTGAAAACTCAGTATGAAGAGATTGCTAACAAGAGCCGCGCTGAGGTTGAGGGCATGTACCAGCTGAAGGTGAGACTGAAAATATTAATGGATAGCTTTAGAAAACCATACTAAATGTATAAATATGAAGTCCCCAGGACATGAAAATACAATGCAGAGAATTTGCTGTTATGGTGCTATACTGTCTGTAGGCTCTTAACAAGCCCGGTTGGCTGTAAGTATCTACTATTGGCTATGGTAGCACACTGTTTCTATAATCTATTAGAGTATGCTTTGTGATCTGCTTTATGATCCATTCCACAGAAATATGTTCATGTAAAGAGATTCACTTCAATGTATGAGTGTGTCCCTTACAAATTTAAAAGGCATTGCCTTTAGATGAAGGGTATATTTTGTAATTCATCCATATGTCTATTTTGGATAACTGAGAGCCCAACTGAAGTCTCCTTTTTATATTCTTGTGCTGCCAATGGTTATCATTTTTAACGGTTTTGGCTTGTAAATGCCTTTTTAGGTGAATAGAAATGTGCTTCCTGCCCTCTCACACTAGTGCTCTTTGCTGGTATAGAGGGTTGGCTTTATGCTGGTATATAGGAGTGGGATCCACAGCCTTTATCACAAGGGTCCTTACTCACACTTGTAGTGCTGAGAAGGAGAGGGGTGCATCTGATCACGTTTGTTAGATTGCAAAGTGCACAAGTAGATTGGACCCCCGCTTTAGTCCTTGGACAAGTAGTTTTTTTTTTCATTTCCACACCTTTGAGGCATGCATGTTTTGATAGACTGAGCAATGGCTCTAAGCAAAGTGTAGGCAAGACTATGAAAATGAGAGGCGGATAGTACAATGCTTATCTGCTAATAATCTCTCGCATTATTGTTTGCTAAGTTCCTCTTATTATGTCCTACAGTACCAAGAACTTCAGGCATCAGCTGGACGTCACGGTGATGACCTTAAAAACACCAAGACTGAGATCAGCGAACTCAACCGTTACATCACGCGGCTGCAGTCTGAGATTGACTCCCTGAAAGCACAGGTGGGCCATATACATCATTTGCCAAGAAATTAAACATTTGTGTATTAAAAAGCTGTAATAGTTAATACCATTTTTAAATGTATTTATTATGATGGTTTTACAATGTACAAACAGTTCTATAATGCTGACTGACTTTAATTGTTCAGGGTTCAGACTCCATACAATTTGTTTTCCATGAAACATGTATTCTTTCATCAGCTTCAGCCACTGAAATGTTTATGTTGTACTAGGAGGCTCCTCATACAAATTCCCAAAGTTACAAAATGTCAAAGGATTGTAAAAGACCTTGGCCGTCTGTCTGTGTGGATTTCCTGTGTAACTTTGTTATCTGTTCCTACAGCGTGCAAACCTTGAAGCACAGATTGCAGAGGCTGAGGAGCGTGGTGAACTGGCAATGAAGGATGCCCGCAGCAAGCTGAATGAGCTAGAAGCTGCTCTACAGAAGGCCAAGCAGGACATGGCTCGCCAACTGAGAGAATACCAGGAACTGATGAATGTCAAACTAGCTCTGGATATTGAGATTGCCACCTACAGGAAACTGCTGGAAGGAGAAGAGAGCAGGTAAGAGATGTTGATTATACATGTGGCTACTCTTTTTGCATTATGCATTGGCATACATTTTTAATGATAGATCTTAGGCAGCAGCTTTTTACATTTAATATTTACTTTTTATTTACAGGCTGGAATCAGGCATTCAGAACCTTAGCATTCAGACCAAGACCACTGGTTACTCAGGTAATCATCTTCTTTCTTTTTAAAACAGAAAATAGTCACTTTACAGAGATTCATCTTTCTATTCACATAACTGTCAGAGCGAAGGCCACTGGAGCTGGGGAGCAAAACTTGCAGTGACAGGGCCTCTTTAGGTGCATTACATATTTAATCAGAGGAGAAGTGGATAACGTGGTGCATCACATATTTAATCAGGGGAGAACAGGATACTGTGGTGTATCACATATTTAATCAGTGGAGAAGTGTATACTGTGGTGCATCACATATTTAATCAGAGGAGAAGTGGATAATGTGGTGCATCACATACTTAATCAGAGGAGAAGTGGATACTGTGGTGCATCACATATTTAATCAGGGGAGAAGTGGATATTGTGGTGCATCATGTATTTAATCAGGGGAGGAGAGGACTCAAAATACCTGAACAATGCCTGTATCCATTCAGATTGTTCAGGTATTTTGGCAGCCAGCAGGGCCGACTAGCAAAATACTGAAGCTTGGCCCTGTGGGAGATTCCTCCATCCAGTTTAGCGTAGATGGAGGAATCTGTTGCACTTTTTCCATCTGACCATAGAAAATCTGCAGATAATCCATAGGTGTATGGCCAGCTTTAGGCCCCTTTCACACAAGTGGTGGTGGATGGCTGTTCAGAAGGCGACTGAGAGGAGGTTCGCAGATGTTCAGGAGCTGATACTGTTGCCTCCTAGATGCCCTTTTTCTTTTCCTCTCAAGGGGGATTTTACATTGAAAAAACATGCTGCAACCGCATGCCAAGCACATGTACTGCCTGTCAAAGTCGACATCCCACGTTTGCTGCACCGTGATGTGCCAAGGCAACGTGTACAGTTTACAATATGATTGCACAGTCGGGACCAGTAAAAAAAAACAAGCAGATCACCAGCCGGTTTTTACTGACTGACAGCTGACAATCGTGCTGAATCATGCATAATGCATTGAGATGGGATGGCTCCGATACAGAAACTGTTAGTTTCTCCTTCTGTATCTTTTGTGACATTTGCATCCTCTATATGGGGGCAGAACTTAATTTCAAATGCCCTATATCCACAACTGATAAGAATCGGTTTCGTTTATAGTTTAGTGTACCATTAGTGTTTTCTGATTATTTCTTCAACAGACAATGTGGGTGAAAGTTTGCTTTCATTCCTAAATGCATATATGCCTATACCTGAAATAAGTATAAGAGAAGCAGGTGTAGATTTCAGTATGGTGACAAAGGGATAGATTTGCCTTCTAGGTGTAACAAGCAAGAAAATCTGATAGATAAGCTATCTGATAACTGAAGCACTTGTTGTTCCAGATATGGATGTAATAGGAATATATAGAAAAGGCAGCCTGTCATGATACAGCCATCACTTTCCTTCTCAAAATGTTAGTTGCTTGGTCGTTTTTGGCTTCAATATTTTCTGATTCGCTGATGCAGAACAAGCATGTAGTAGGTAAAGTCATTACTCTAGATCTGCTTTTTCATACACGTTACTTATTGTTCCCTTTGAAGCCTGTCTGTTGATATAACAACCAAGAAGGGGGTCAGCAATGGCAGCCTACATATTTCATTGTTCAAACACAGAATAAAACAAATGATATACAGTAATGCATAGCGGACAATCAGCTGGTAACTGTTAATTATAGTCCTGCTACTAAAAACTGGTTCCTGAATAACCCAAAGGTTTTGTTAGTTTTGATATAGAAAGAGCAGCTTTGATTTACAAATTCCGGGTGACTCATGTTTTGTATGTTTTTTCCACAGGAGTTAGCAGTGGCTACAGTGGTGGACTACAAAGTTCATACACTGGTGGACTACAAAGTTCATACACTGGTGGACTACAAAGTGGGTACGGCGGTGGATTGGGAGGCAGCTACATGTATGCCAGCAGTGCCAACTCCTCCCCCCTGGAAACCTCCAGAACCAAACGCAGCATCGTAGTGAAGACCGTTGAGACCAAAGACGGAAGAGTTCTGTCCGAATCCTCAGACGTCTTCTCAAAATGAGTGCCTTTTCCGCTGACACACCAAGCTGTCCCACAGCCAGGGCTCTTATTACAGATGAGCCTTCCTAAAGACAGAAATCAGGACTGGTGGGGTAGATGTCCTAAAATCCTTTTTTTAAATTTGCCTTGGACATTTTAACCTGGATCAAGCTACCCCAGCTTGGGCCATCAATGTGGCACAAGTGCTAGACCCTAAACGGTGCTCTCCCAACTTTGAGAATAATAATGTTTACCTGTATGTGAAAATGGGATGACAGGAGGAATTAGACATGAGTAGCTTATTGTACTGTTTCAGCAATTTGTATTGATTCCTTCCCAGCAGGCTCAACTTAAGGTGGGCTTGGCTTCCAGTGGGCTCAGCTGTGCTGTCTCCTCTTCCTTTATTCCTCTCTTTCTTGGCTTCCTGTGCAATTCTTATCACAAACGGCTAGGTAAAAACTTCTTGCAGCGTGCTTTGTCCATCCTTGCTAGGTGGATACTGGAAGTGCTCATCTTGTCTTGCACCTTCCAATAAATCTCTTAATAAAACCTTTTTTAAAAAAAAAAAAAAGAGAGTTTCTTCATTTTTTACTACATAGCTTGTTATAAAAGCAAATCACATATTGGCATATAAATACTGAGGTGACTGGGAACTGCAATAATTCTTTATTTGGCTCATTTAGATTTATTTATTATTGGTATTTAGATAGCACTGACAATTTACTCAGCGCTTTACATACTGCACATTCACATTAGTCCCTGCCCTCAAGGAGCTTACAATCTAAGATTCCTATTTTATATGCATGCATACATAGATATGGCCAGCAATTCTGCAAACACAATACACATTGGTTCATTTGCTGAAGAAGTGAACAATTCATAGATACACAGTTGTGCTCAAAAGTTTGCATACCCTTGGAAAATTGTTAATACACAGCATGTTCCATTTAAAAAAAAAACATGAGTGAGCAGGCAAAACACATTTCTTTTATGTCTATGGGATTCATATGCATCTGTAGGTCATAACAGAATGGCACAATCATAAAACAAAACATGGCAACAAATAAGAAAATTGCATGACCCCAGTTCAAAAGTCTGCATACCCTTAGTTCTTAATACTGTGTATTGCCCCCTTTCGCATCAATGACAGCGTGCAATCTTTTGTAATAGTTGTCTATGAGGCCCCGAATTCTTGCAGGTGGTATAGCTGCCCATTCATCTTGGCAAAATGCCTCTAGGTCATGCAAAGTCTTTGGTCGTCTTGCATGAACTGCACATTTGAGATCTCCCCAGAGTAGCTCGATGATATTAAGGTCAGGAGACCGTAATGCCACCACAGAACCTTCACTTTTTCTGCTGTAACCACTGGAGGATTACCTTGGCCTTGTGCTTAGAGTCATTGTTATGCTGGAAAGTCCAAGAGCGTCCCATGCGCAGCTTTCATGCAGAAGAATGCAAATTGTCTGCCATTGTTTTCTGATAACATGCTGCATTCATCATGCCATCAATTTTCACAAGACTCCCCGTGCCTTTAGAGCTCCCCCCCCCCCAAAAAAAGTGTGCCACCACCATGCTTCGCAGTGGGGATGGTATTCTTGTCGCTATAGGCCTTGCCAGCCCCTTCTCCAAACATAGTGCTTATAGTTGTGACCATAAAGCTCTATTTTGGTCTTGTCACTCCAAATGACAGTGTGCCAGAAGCTGTGAGGTTTGTCAAGGTGTTTTCGGGCATACTGTATCTGGGCTTTTTTGTGGCATTGGCACAGTAACGGCTTCTTTCTGGCAAATTGACCATGCAGCTCATTTTTGTTCAAGTATCGTTGTATTGTGCTCCATGAAACAACCCCACCATCTTTTTCCAGAGCAGCCTGTATTTCTCCTGAGGTTACCTGTGGGTTGTTCTTTGTATCCTGTACAATTCTTCTGGCAGTTGTGGCAGCAATCTTTCTTGGTCTACCTGACCTCGGATTTTCCACTTCTTAATAAGTGATTGAACAGTACTGACTGGCATTTTCAAGGCTTTGGATATCTTTTTATATCCTTTTCCATCTTTATAAAGTTCCATTACCTTGTTACGCAGAACTTTTGATGAGGGCCATTTGGGTGATTTCTGTTATCATTATGACTTAAAAAGGAGCCAAACATAAATGGCTTCATATGATCACTATCCTTAAATAAAAGACTGTTTTGTGGCATGAGCCGTCATATTTTCATTATCAATGCCAGAACTTCATGATTTCTGCCAGGGTATTATCACAATCAAGCGGGTTGATGGGGAATGGATTGCAGCTGCGGAACTGTTGAGTAGGCTGTATGGGATTGGGTCAGTCAGGAGCCAGAGCCAGACTATGGAGGGAATAAAATAAACCTACCAGTACATTTTTGGGTTGTGTAGAGAATAATAGCACATGGAGGAAAACTATACTATGGGAAAAGCATACAAACTGTTTGCAGGTTGTCTCCTATGGAAGGAGAACATTTAGATCCTGCTGCAGGGCAAGTGTGCTAGCCACTGTGCCACCTTGTGACAGTTAAACAAAAACATGGGTATTAAAGCTGAGCTCCAGGCAGATATAAAAAGGCACAATTATTGCTGGTTGACTCCTTAACCGCCTCCCGGCTGGGCGTAGTAAACGTACGACCAGCCGGAAGCATCCTGGATCTGAGCAGGCGTATTGAAACGTCCCGTCAGCCACGCCCACTCGTGCGCGCAAGCGGTAACCTGCCGAAATTGAAAAACAGGCAGCGATGCCTGTTTACGTACAAGCGATCCAGCGGCTATAGAGCCGCTTGTATAAGGCCCGCTGTCACGCTGGTCCCGGGCTCCGCTGTGCTGGTGCAAGCCCGGGATCAGCATGGTGGCTCTGTGACAGGGGATCAGATGGAGATTTTTGTGTTGTGTGCCTCTGGGGTTTCTCAGAGGCACACAAATTCTAACCTGGGCATGTTGGGTATCTATTTACTTGTCCTAACTACTTGTCCTTATGTTTTATAAACAAAATGGGTATTATATTGTGCTTTGGGGCATTACATTTAAGTTAAGTGCATTTTACACAAAAGTTTGATAAAGAGTTGCACTAATACCGTGCAACAAAGAATTTCGCAACTGCCGCCATTTTATTCTACAAAGTCTTGACTTTCAGGGGTTTGAAGTAATTTTCAGGTCTCAAATGTGGATTATAACATGTGCAAAAACAAAAAAAAAGGCCTTGGCAGCGAAAAAGTCTTTAATGTCTTTAATGTGATGGGCAACTTTACTGACCAATAGTGGAATAGAAGGGAATGGATCAAGGTTCAATTTTGAAGAGAAAAATGTATGTTCCCATATAATTTCAGCTGGCTATATCTCTTGATCTACTGATTGTTCAGATATCTTGCGTCCAGTGCAGGTCTAGTCATAATTTATAGAAAGCACAGATCCTTCACATTATTTTCTGCTCTGTGGAGATGTCCCTTGCCATATTTGCATATTGTAGACATACACAGCTGTGCCAGTTTGTGAGGAAGCAAATTTACCAACCGGTATGTGGACGGAAACCAGAGTACCTGGCCAAAGCCCAAAGAGAACATACAAATTATGCTGTGCCCTGATAAGAACCAAATTAAAGACACTAGTGCCGAAGAGCAAGATCGCTAACCGACTTTGCCACTGCGCTGCCTAAAACTCTGTTGAACAAAACATTAGTAGCCAATCACAATCAGTTTCACAATTTTATCAAGTTTCTGAAGGACAATTAGAGTTAGTTACCTGTTAAATAATTTTCAAGATATTCTAGGACGTCATACATGAGTATCTCATTTTCCAATATCCTTTCAGAATGGCAACTTCTCCTGTATGCTGTCTTGACAGATAACTTGGGAAACTTGTCTTGGACACTTTACCACTGTGAGTGTTTCACTCATCCAGTAAATGTCAGAGACTCACCCCGCAGCGGTTCGGCTGGGCATCACAGCTCCTCCCCCGTCGGCGGCGTCTCCTCGCTTCGGGAGAGACACGCCGACGGCCGCACATAGCTCTGCCCACCTCACGCCGCTCTCCTCCATAAGACGGCGGGAAATTCAATTACTCGGCGTTCTAGTAATGTGGAGCGTTGAGCTGGGCTCCCTCCATCCCAGCTCCACTCTCCATCCTGAATTAGAGCCCTCGGGTCACTAGAGCTCCACCCATGTGATCCAAAACAGTCAGATATACCGCTCGTACGTGACAGTAAAGTATGAAGGTAGTGGATGGTTTGGGAAACACAGAAACAATTCCTGGATAAATGGGGCTTAAAGGAGAACTATGGGGTTAGGGCTTTTCCCCAAAGTTCTCCTAAGGGTAACGGGAGGACACAAACTAGCGTCCTCCCATCACCCTAAGCTCAGTGTACAGCGAGCCACAGCTTGCGGTATACTGAGACGCCGCAGCTGAAACGGATCCCGACAATTATGTCTGGATCCGCCCAGCTGCGTGAGTGACAGCTGGCTCTGCCTATCTAGAGGCAGAGCCAGCTGTACCCGCCCCTTCCCCTGTCGGTTCCGCCAATCAGCGCTGGAGGATCGGAGCGGGGAGGGGTGCATTCAGTCCCTCCCCTGTCACTGCTCTGTGCCGTGACAAGATCGAGAAGTGATCGAACGCCGGTATGTGTTCGCTCACTTCCCGATCTACTGAGCAGGCCTGTGACTGTTTCATTGTCACAGGTCAGCTAAAACTATGAGGATGAGTGAAAAGCACTCACCACATACAGGTGAAACTCGAATAATTAGAATATCATGCAAAGTTCATTTATTTCACTAATGCAACTTAAAAGGTGAAACTAATATATGAGATAGACTCATTACATGCAAAGCAAGATAATTCAAGCCGTGATTTGTCATAATTGTGATGATTATGGCTTACAGCTCATGAAAACCCCAAGAACCCCAAATCCACAACCTCAAAAAAGTAGATTATTACATGCAATCAATAAAACAAGGATTGTACATAGAACAATATCGGACCTCTGAAAAGTACAAGCATGCATATGTACTCAGTACTTGGTTTGGGCCCCTTTTGCAGCACTTACTGCAATTACTTTTGCACGATATTCTAATTATTCGAGTTTCACCTGTAGTTCTCCTTTAATATGAGCCACAGTTCAGTGTAAAGCTGTCCATGCTTGTATCAAATTATGGCCATTTCCTGCTGAATTAACCGAAATTTGATTTGTGGGTGGCCTTACCGGCACCAACCGGTCTTAACAAAAGTTAATTGAATGATTTTTGGGCTGAATAGCCAGCAGGGGATATTCCTCCATCCACGCTCTTAATGTAGATGGGGGAATGTTTCTGACTAAGACCAAGTGAACAAAAGGACACTCTACGGCTGATCTTATCAAGGTGATTTTCTGTATTTCTTTCATTGGTAAAGTTAATGGGGGGAATTTATTGAAGTTATTGCGAGTGTTTGAACTCGCATATGGTCGCATGGGATATATTTGACGCGCTTTGCACCAGATTTATGTTGCTAGTGTAATGTATGTTCATAAATGAGATTAAATAAAGTCCAGGAAAGAACACTTCCAACTCAAAGCAAGAA